AGGGAGACCCCTTCCCCACACAGAACCTAGGCAGATTCCCCCACCAAACCACCAGCCCGGCTTTTCCTTCAGCCCTCACTCTTCTTCAAAAAGCACCTTTGGCTTTTTTTCTTCTTTTCCCTCCATATACTCTGAGTCTTCATGCTCTGGTCATTTTTCTCAAAATGCTCTGGTCTCTACTCTTCTTTTCCACTCCTACCCTACCCCCACTTCAGCACCATGACATCGGAACCTGAAACCCAATCTCTAATCCTTTCCCCATTCCAGATTCTTCCACCCTCTACCCTGTCCCACCTGTGCTGCCAAGCGAAGCCCCACAAACCTCATATTCATTATCCCATTGCTTCTCTGCTTGGCTTCCACGCTGCCATGGTCCCAACCTCCTTTCCCTGCGCATCCTTATGCATGCTCCACACTTGTTGGGCTGACTCCCCTCCCCCACCAAGGTGCCTCTTCTGGACTTTGCACATACTGTTCCCTGACCTGGAATGCCCTTCCATGTGACAGGCCAGGAGGCAAGACGTGAAGGTGACTTGGTCAAGGAGGTTGGCAACTGAGATGGAGAGAAGTAGATAGATTCAGAATGTGGCCTGAAGACGGGGCATGCCTGTGGGTTGGATATGTAGGATAAGGGAAAGGGAGGAATCAGAAATGGCTTCTAGATTTTTAAGTTGGGCATCTCTGGGAATAATTACACCATTTGCTAAAATAGGGCACCTCAGGGAAGAAATGTGTTGAGAGATGTGTAAATTAATAGTTAAATTTGAGATCTGATAATAAACAAGTGGATAGGTAATAATAAAAAGTGAGCTCCACAAATAGATGTCTGGACATAGTAGACAAGCTCAGGCTGGGTCAGAACTAAAAAAGTCAGGAGTCGTCACCACCTGGATGGTGTTTAAAGCTATAGGACTGGATGAAACACCAGTGGAAAGAAGGCGCCCCCCCCACCCAGTGAAGTCCTGAGGCTCTTGGGCATCTTGAAGTAGATAGAGCACAGGAGGCAAACCCATGAGAGACTGAGAAGCAGCCAGAGGGAGGGGAAGAAACCCGGGGAGGGTAGTGTCATGGAACCTAAGATAAGACACGGTTTCAAGAAGGATGTGGCTGTCTGTGTTGAATGCAGCTGACAGACAGGTCACATGAGATGAGAACAGAGAAATGACTGCTGATTTGCTAATATTAAAAGCCAACTGGTGACTTTGACAAGGGTTGTTTCTGTGGCATATATCAGGACAGAAGTCAGCATGGACTGGGTTAAGAGAAAATCTGAAATAGAAATTGGAGACAGTGACCATCTTGACAGAAACATCCAGATGTTTCTCCGTAAAAGGAACAGAAAAATGGCTGATAACAACTTGCTGTGTGCAATTCTGGTCACATATGTCAGACTTCTTCACATAACTTCCTGTTACAGCTTTAGAGGGGGATGTGGACCAAGGAAAAGTTCAGTCCTCCTAGTGATAAGGAATACTACATGGATCTTAGCTAACATTTATTGAGCGTACAGTCTCAGTCCTAACAGGAAGATATTCTGATCATTAACTTGTCTGAGGCCATGATGATACTAAGCAGTGGAACTGGGATTTGGACCCAGCTCCAGTGTGCTTGTATACTGGACATAGTTTATGTAAGCAAGAAAGGCTGGAAACGGGGTTGAAGAGAAGAGGCTAAGAAGGGTCTCAGGGAGGAGTGGCAAGGGCTAGACTGGAAGGGAGGGGGGTGGCAAGGTTGCTAGGAGCTGATAGTGATGGGTAAATAAAGTTGGTGAAGGAGGAGGCATGGTACCTGGTGGGAGGTCGAACCATGAGCCCCATGTGGAATGCAGACAACAGAGCAAGTTTAGTGGGTGGGGAAAGTTCACTTTTGGTCGAGATGTGTTCGAGGTACCTGGGGCTATTTAGGTGGACACAGTTGGCAGGGTGAGAAGGGGCAGGGCTGGAGCCTGGATTAGAGCCTGCAGGGTAAAGGGCTCGGTAACCCATAGGTGAGAATGAAAATGCCTAGAGAGCATTACATTTTCCTTGAGAGAGTAATAAGGATGAGGCCCTGGGCTTGCAGAGTGTGAGTGATTGAGGAGGGCAGCTGCTGAGTCTATAGAACCAGCCAGTGAGGTCCAGGAGAGTGGTTGGTGGACCCCAACAGAGAGCTGTTGGCCAGTGCACCTCCTTCCCTCGATCTTCCCACCTGTGTTTGCTGGACACCCACTCAGAGCAGGCCAAGGCCCAGGTGCAAGGATAGAGTGGTGAACAGGACCATTGTCCCTGCCCTCTCTTGGGACTCAGACCCCAAACCGCCACATACGTAAATGAACCAGATGAATTCCCATGATGGCAACTGCTACACTAGGAAACAGGGTGACGTAGAGAAAAGATTAACAGTGGCAGGGCTGGGTCTGGCTATTTTATTTTATTTGTTATTATTTTAAAATATCCCCACCTGAGGATATGTTTTATTGATTTTAGAGAGAGAGGAAGGGTAGGGGAAGAGAGAGAGAAACATCGATTGGTTGCCTCCCTTACCCACCCCGACTGATAACCTGGGATCAAACCCACAACCTAGGCAGGTACTCTGGCCAGAATGGAATCTGCAACGTTTGGTGTATGGCAGGCACGCCAATCAGCTGAGACACCCGTGCCAGGGCTGGGTCTGGCTATTTTAAACTAGGTGACCTAGGAAGGCCTCTCGGATGAGTTGATACCTGACAGAAGATGCCAGGCAGGGCACAGTGTTCTGAGAAGAGGGAAAAACAGTACAAAGCCCTGCAGGACAAGGAACTTGGTTCTCAGCAGGAACAGAAAGAAGGCCAGAGTGGGTGGACTCTTGCAAATTGGAGGTGTGTGAGAGATCCAAGTGGAGAGATGGACAGGGTAGCTGCGGGGACCTGGGAAGCCATTTGAGGTCCTGTTCTCTCATTTTATTATTTATCTTCTTTGCAGTTTCCTATTATCCTAGGTCTAGGTTATTTTTTGTAACAGCTTTAGTGAGATAAAGCTATTCTCACATACCACAGAATTCACCCATTTAAAGTGTACAGTTAAATGGTTTTTAGTATATTCACACAGTTGTGTGGCCATCATGACAGTAGCTTTAGAACATTTTCATCTCCTCAAAAAGAAAGCCTGTACCCTTTAGCCATTATCCCCTATTTCTCCAACCCCCTCCCCCTTCCAGCTCTAAGCAACCATTAATCTACTTTCTGTCTCTCTATATTTGTTTATTTGGACATTTCCTAGAAATCATATACTGTGTTGTCCTTTATGACTGAAAGCACTTAGCATAGTGTTTTCAAAGTTCATGGCATTTCTTTTCAAGACTGAATAATATGCCATTGTGTGGGTGTAGGAGAATCTTCCTTACCCTTTAATAAGTTGATGAACATTTGGGTACCATTTTATTATTTTATTTTAATATCCAAATAATGTGGGATTCAAGTAATATATGTATGCATTCTGAAAGTAAAGGAAACAAACACTATAGACACAATATGAAAGCCCCCACACTTCTCCTTCAGTCCTACTCTTCTCCCCAGAAATGGCTGGTGACAACTTGCTGTGTGTGGTTTTGCCCACATATGTCAGACTTCCTCACACAACTTCCCGTTACACTGTGGGCTCCAAAGGCCATGGATCCACCCTTGTCCTGGGCCATTTATGTCTTCTGGGTAAGGTGGGCCCTGAAGGTTTATAAGCTAAATGAGTGTCTAGGGAATGTGTGAAAGTCCTGTGAAGGGACTTTCCCCTGTCTTTGAACATCCACGTTCAGGTGTGGACGGGACGGTGAGTGGCTGGGAGGAGGCCAAACTCAACAGCTCCAACCCACTTCGCTATGACCGCCAGAGCAGGGGATTTATAGTCACCCGGGCTGGGCTCTACTACCTGTACTGTCAGGTAAGCCCCACCTGGCACCATGGGTAAAGCAGAAACTGAGGGAGTAGGGTTTGGTTTAGAGGGTGGAGAGGAGGAGTTTGGGGTCTGGGCTGGAGAGGATATTTGGGTCTCTAAGGAAATGTGAACTTGAGATGAGGGCAAGCAGTGGCCTGGACTCCACCACCCTCTCGCTGCCTGCCAGGTGCACTTTGACGAGGGAAAGGCTGTCTACCTGAAGCTGGATTTGCTAGTGGATGGCACGCTGGCCCTGCGATGCCTGGAAGAGTTCTCCGCCACCGTGGCAAGTTCCCCTGGGTCCCAGCTCCGTTTCTGCCAGGTGTCTGGGCTGTTGCCCCTGAGGCCGGGATCCTCCTTGCGGATCCGTACCCTCCCCTGGGCCAATCTCAAGGCTGCCCCTTTCCTCACCTACTTTGGACTCTTCCAAGTTCACTGAGGGGCCCTGGCCTCATGATGGTTTTCCCAGGCCACTGGTTCCTCACAACTCTCTGAGCACCCCAGTCCCCTCTGCCCCACCCTGAGCTGCTCCTCCCCTCAGACCTGCCACTCCCTGGGTAGGCTGCCAGGGCTTATTCACGTGTTTTCTATGCCACATAAATATTCCCGTTCATCTCAGACTACTCCTCCCCCCAACTCTGGTGTTCCACCTCACTAGCTCCTGAACCCGATCTTTGATGCCCCATTTATGTCCTGACTCCCCACCCTGGCCACAGCCCCCTGGGACATTGTGTTTACTATATTCTGGGTGAGAATGGGTCCCCAGTACCCCTCGCAAGCACCAAGAGGGGCTGGATACCGGAGAGACTGGGACTAGGCCAGGAGTTCCCAACTGTGAGGGCTAAGAGTCCAAGACAAGCTCCTCTCCTGATAATTCCCTGTGGATTTTTAAAAGATATTATTTTTATTATTATTGTGACAGAATGTAGATATGTGGAAATTAAAGAGAATAAGCCATGGTTGCTCTTTTTCATTTGGGGTTTAGGGGACCTCCTCAGGGAAGCCAAGAGCCCTGGGAAAGGGGGTCTGGGCATTGGGGAGTGGGTGCGGGACAGCTGGAATTCCAGGGTGACATACAGGCTTGGGAGTGGGGACCCACCCGTATGGAGAGGACCTCCAACCTGCAAGGCATGAACAGAGAACAGAAAGGCAAACTGCCAAGGGAAAAGAAAATCGATCCTCTGCCCAAGGTCCAGCAGAAGCTGCCTCATTTACCTAGGAGGCGGGCTTCCTCCTGTGGGGAATCCCTGGCTGGGAGGAACATGGGCCCTTCCTCTTGGCAGCTTCGGGACATTCAGCAGGTGCTGGCACAAAGCCCTGGCTGGGATGTGGGGTAGGAGCAGGCCTCAAGGGGGTTTCAGGGTCAGTAAGCAGGACACGGGGCCCAGGAACATGGGAACCTCAACCCTAAGATACAGCAGAGGAATCCTCCAGTGGTAGGGTGCTTGCAGAGGGGTGGGAAGGTGGCTGTCTTTTTCTCTCTTCATCCAGAGCCTTATGTAAGAGCTTTTCTCGGGAAACAGGAAGTCCTATTTGCCAAGTTCAGCACAGGGAGTAGTGCAGGCCTTATTCCAACACACCCAGCCTGGGCTTAACCCCAGAGCTCAGCCAGTTTCTTGCTTCAGAGACCCTGGTTCTCCCCACGGGCCCTCTCCCCTCCTTTCCTACCTTCAGTCACTCCTAGCACTCTTCCCCGGAGACCGCTCCTAGGCCAGAGCCAGAGGGTCTTCCACCCTCATCCCTTGACCCTCAACACGGCCCAGCATGCCCCTTCATCCCCACTCCTGGCACCATGCCCCATGCCAGCCAACCTTCCCTCCCCCACTTCTGGGGCCGCCCCAGGGTTCCTGTGCTTTGGCCGCTCCTCCCGGGTGTCACTGGCAGCCTGGTGCGTCCTAGAGAGACTGGCACCAAATTCTCCTGAGGCTGGAAGAGGGTGAGGGGTCTCAAGACAACACTGGCCCCACAGAGAAGTGCCAGGAGCACCAGCGGTGTCCCTAGCTTGCTTTCTTCCTCCCTCCCTTTTATTCTCAAGTTCCTTTTTATTTCTCCCTTGCGTAACGCCCTTTTTCCCTTCTGCACAACTGCCTGCACCCCCACCCTCTGCCACCTCTTTGCCATCCACTCCTGAGGCCACAGCTGTTGGCAGGGTCCCCAGCTCATGCCAGCCTCATCTCCTTCCTTTCTAGCCCCCAAAGGGCCACTGGGAGACATGGGGGGCCGGGTCCGAGAGCCAGCACTCTCAGTTGCCCTCTGGTTGAGTTGGGGGGCAGCTCTGGGGGCTGTGGCTTGTGCCATGGCTCTGCTGACCCAACAAACAGAGCTGCAAATCCTAAGGAGAGAGCTGAGCCGGCTGCAGAGGACTGGAGGGCCCTTTGAAAATGGGGAAGGGTATCGATGGCTGAGCCTCCAGGAGCAGGTGAGTGAGGGGAGGAGGGTGTCTGGGAGAGGAAGACTGGTGGCAAGGCCGTCTCTGGCACTCTTGGTTCCAGCCTCCTGCAAAGTTTTTAGTGGGTGTGAGAGAGGGTCCCAGGTTTGGAAGTCAAGGGAGCAGCCATACCAGGAAGGGAAATTGTTAAAGATTAATGCTTCACATACCTACCAGATCCTGGAGGACAGCCAGCACCAGGACTCAGGTTGCTGGGAAAAGGTTCATGAGAGATGGGAGGCATTCCTGGGGCGGAGGGAGGGCTGGGAGGAAAGGCTATCTGGGACCCTTGCACCGTAGCCTAATGCTGCCTTTTTCCATGAGCAGAGGCCTGAGACCCTGGAAGCCCCGGAGAATGGGGAGAGATCCCGGAGAAGGAGAGCAGTGCTCACCCATAAACACAAGAGTGAGGCCTTCAGGGTGCAGAGGGGTGGGAGATGATCGAGCAGCAGGAAGACTTGGAGACTATTACCTCAAGTCAGGGTGAGGGTGGAGGGCTGATGAACGGGGGTTATCAAGTGGGGGTAGGCAGGCATTGCTGAGATTTCCTCCTTCTTTCCTCAGAGAAGCACTCAGTTCTGCACCTTGTTCCCATTAACATTACCTCCAAGGGTGAGCACTATTTTAAATGGCTTTGGGGGCAGGGCAAGATCTGGGAACTTTGGGGCTGGCACCAGGGCCCGAGAGAATCTTAAAGGTGAAAAGAAATAATGCACAGAAATCCTGACTGCCACACTCCTCACCTCCAGAGGACTCTGATGTGACAGAGGTGATGTGGCAACCAGCTCTTAAGCGTGGGAGAGGTCTGGAGGCCCAAGGATATGTTGTTCGAGTCTGGGATGCTGGAGTTTATCTACTTTATAGCCAGGTAACCCCAAACAAACACTGAACCTCGAACATGGCCCTGAGGGCCTGAAAGGCTGTTCTTCCAAAGCCTTACGCCCCAAAACTGAGGGATCTCAAGCCTCTGTTCATGCACTGAGAAGATTCTCTGGCTTTTTCTCAGGGCTCCTGAGGCCTCCCAGAACTGAGCTATACAATCTTGTTTTCTTCATCTCCTCCCTTTTCTGCCAGGTCCTGTTTCATGATGTGACTTTCACCATGGGTCAGGTGGTGTCTCGGGAGGGCCAGGGAAGGCAGGAGACTCTATTCCGATGTATACGAAGTATGCCCTCCAACCCAGACTGGGCCTACAATAGCTGCTACAGTGCAGGTAACAGCTCTGGGGGCAGTGGGGGCAGTGTGGGGATGGATGTTAGAAGAGCAGAACATACTTGACCTCGGGGTAGTGGTGGAAGAGCTATGACAGGGGGGGTTAAAAGCCTGGATGTAGATAGAGGTGGATCTAAGGAATGAAGGATGGAATACTTAGGTCCTTATGGTAAGCAGAAAAAAGGTTGAGCTAGAGGAGGGCGACACATCAGAGTATCTACATGGCTGTGCTTCACTGAGGACCTATTTCCTATCTTTTCTCAGGTGTCTTCCACTTACACCAAGGGGATATTCTGAGTGTCATAATCCCCCGAGCGAGGGCGAAACTTAGCCTTTCTCCACATGGAACCTTCCTGGGGCTTGTGAAACTGTGATGGTGTTATAAAAGCGGTTCTGGGTTTGGAAGAGCGGGGTGGGTACATATAGGAGACAGCCAAAGCTGTCTGGACAAAGGACAGGGAATGTGAAGGAACAGAGCAGAGGCCTCCTCTGGGTCTATCTGGAACCCTGAGCTTGACAACTTATGACTGTGTCTTTTATCCCCTTTTCTCTTCCCAACTCCTACCCATAGATTTTGATTTAATAAATATTAAGGATATAGAATATCTTGCTTTTATCTCCCATTTAGCCCCATATTCTCGGGGCTTGATGAGGGGTGAAGAGAAGATGCCAGGCATTGTCTACACCTGCTTTGGGTCCCACTGGAATGCTTCCAGAACAGCACCACCATCTAGCGGCAGTTTGAGAGAACCAAACTGTCAGGTGGCACAAGTCCACAAAGCCTCCCTACACTCAGGAAAACTCCTGGTTCCCTATGCCGCACCTCCCTCGAGGAACCCACTATCTCTTCACCCCACAAAAAGCCCCATCCTCATTTCCACTTTACTCTTTTAGTCCCAAGTTTTGTCTTTCATGCTCTGCATTCCCCTGGCGAGGCAACAAGCTCCTCTGGGGCTGAGACGGGTCGCCGGGAAGCCTTGGATGAATAGTACGTCCTAATGATGGTCTTGACGCACTCCTGAGCTCATCTTTCTGCTTCTTTCTGCTCAAACCCTACTTAAAGTTAAATAAAAGAGAATAAGTAATACCTCGGATCCATTTACCCCCACTGCCTTGTCTCGCACCCGTCCCTCTACCGGGATCTCCTGTCCCCCAGGTACTCCCCTGGCGCACCCCACTGCACCGAAAGTATACTGTCGGCGGTCTCAGAACTAAGACGAGGACCGTACAGCTGGGCGTGAAGTACCACGGGACAGGCAGGCGCAAAAGGGCGAGTAGGGGCGGGGGTTCGCCGCCCGCAAGCTCAGGTCAGCGAGTCAGCGTTGGCGCAGCTCCGCGCCGGGCTCGGGGCGGGGCGATCCCGTGGCGTCTGCTTTCGAGAGTAGGCGGGACTAGGCGCGTGGTGGCCGCGCCGGCGCTATTCGCCGAGTGTGACGTAGTATTCATGCGCCGCCACCACCGGTGGGCCTGGGGCTCGCGGGAGGGGAAACAGGAGGAGGAGGAGGAGGGGGAGGTGGTGAAGGTGGAAGCTAAAGCAGGGCAAGAGGCGGCCGCGGCGAGGCGGCTTAGCGGGTCGGCCTAGAAGCGTTGGGATTCTGAATTGAGACGGCTACGCCTGAAGACTGCAGGAGTGGCGGGGCCACCGCCGTCACCGGACAGATGAGCCGGGAAGCCTGAGGCCGGCGACGCCCGCCCTCGGGCCCGTCAGTCCGGCTTCGCCGCTCCCGGTGAGGACTCCCCCCCCCCCCCCCCCCGCCGCAGCTCTGCCCCGGCCTCTCCCATTCCTGGACATCATTCCCTCCTGACCGGGGCCCAGGCAGCCCTTGAAGGGGCTGCTTAAGGCCTCGCCATGCGAGCCGTCCGAGCCTGTAGGACTAGACCGGTGCCGGGACGTTTTCTGGTCCCTGGGGACCGAGCGGGAGAGGGGCCTGGGCCAGTTGACTCGGGCGGCTCAGTTCTTTCCCAGCGCCTTCGTCTGGCTGCTTAAGCATCGATTCGGTTTTCCTTCAGTTTCTTTTAAAATTCCTCCCGTTTTTTTAGATTATAGTACCTGAACTATATCTCTGACCTCCCTCTTCCCTTTTGAGAAGATCTGAGCATGCACTCTCTTCCCCAATTCACTGCAGGGTGGTAGGTAACTCTTCCCACTGTAGATCACGGTTTCCCTGTGGAGGTTGTGTTGCCCTCATGTACCTCTGTACTATGTCAGGATTCTCGTGCTGAGTTGTACCCCTTACTGGACTCTCAATAAGGACACTCCTGGTGGTATTAAAACAGAGTAGTAGAGACTGAAAATACTGGGTTGACCAGGGGATCTGACAAATAAGATTTTATAGGCCTACTGCGTAGCCATTCTCCTTTGCCGCTCTATTCGGTAGGGGAGAGACCATGCCAAGATGTTAAAGGTTCCCTTGTGGACCATGTTAATCAGGAAGATCTGTAGTTTTGTTTTGTTTTGTTTTTCCTCTTTATTTTTTGCATCTCTCTGAATTCTAGTTTATTTTTGATTCCAGAAGAGGCATGCCGAAGAAGAGAGGCAGGATTTGGGGTGCATGATCTTTGGATTCTGACGCTCCTTTATTTTGCAGGCTACTGAAAGATGAAAGAAACTATACAAGGAACCAGGTCTTGGGGGCCTGAGCCTTCAGGACCTGGCATAGCCCCAGCTTACTCAAGCCCTAGGCGGGAACGTCTTCGTTGGCCCCCACCCCCAAAACCCCGACTCAAATCAGGTGGAGGGTTTGGGCCAGATCCTGGGTCAGGGACCACAGTGTCATCCAGACGCCTCCCTGTCCCTCGGCCTTCTTTTGATGCTTCAGCTAGTGAAGAGGAAGAGGATGAAGATGAGGAGGATGAAGATGAGGAAGAGGAAGTGGCAGCTTGGAGGCTGCCCCCCAGATGGGGTCAGCTGGGAGCCACCCAGCGGCCCCGCCCTCCCCGCTCTACTCATCGAAAAACCTGCTCACAGCGCCGCCGTAGAGCTATGAGAGCCTTCCGGATGCTGCTGTACTCAAAAAGCACCTCGCTGACATTCCACTGGAAGCTTTGGGGGCGCCACCGGGGCCGGCGGCGGAGCCTTGCACACCCCAAGAACCATCTTTCACCCCAGGAAGGGGGTGCGACACCACAGGTGCCATCCCCCTGCTGTCGTTTTGACTCCCCCCGGGGACCACCCCCCCCTCGGCTGGGTCTGCTAGGTGCTCTCATGGCTGAGGATGGGGTGAGAGGGTCTTCACCAATGCCCTCTGGGCCCCCTATGGAGGAAGATGGATTAAGGTGGACTCCAAAGTCTCCTCTGGACCCTGACTCTGGTAAGGTGGGAATAGGGTGGAGGAAGCAAGGGGAGGGCTAAGATCCTGGAGAACCAGGACCTTCTTGCTCTGATGAGAACTGGGCCTATGAAAAGTAGAATGGCAGAGTCATGGGGGCGGGGGTGATAGTGTCCAAAATAGTTGTGAAATGTCTTAAACCCCATTTTGAGCAGGAACTAAGTCAGAGGAGGTAGTCAAGGCTGAAGTACAGAATCCTTAAGTAGGTGTTCTGTGCATGGATGAGAAAGGAAGGCATGGTTCAGAAAAGTCAGTCCTGTCTACTTGAAATCCCTCTTTATTCGGCCATTGAGGATAACGGCCCTTATGTGTGCATCTCCCGGGTGTGCCATTCTCAGAGTAGTGGGATCGGATCTCTTGAGTAGTGGAGTGTTCATCACCTGTATGGTTGTGTGTGACATTCTCATTCAGAATATTTCCCTTTTGGAGAACCACACTAAACAATTTTAGGCATTCTTTGCCTTAAGGTAATTAGTGAGCCTTTGCTATATGCTAGGTAATGTGTTAGGTGTATCTCTCTGACTCTTGTCTTTTCTTGCTTTTTTCCTATGAGTACAGTTGACCGTTAACACAGGCTTAAACTGTGTCGGTCCACTCATATCTGGAGTCAGCCCTCCGTGTCTGAGTTTCATGTCTGTGGATTTAACCAATTCTGAATTGAAGACTATTTTCAGTCCACAGTTAGGAATCCATGAATGCAGAAACCTTATTCTATGCATTGTTCTCCACCTTTCTGTGTAAGAGATTTGAGCATACACAGATTTTGGTATCCACATCCAGAATCCAGGGATTCTGGAACCAATTCCCCCAAAATTCAGCTTTGCCCCCATGGACACTGAGGCAAAGCTGAATTTGGGGGGGAGTTAAAAGTTACGTGTGTGAAGGAGGTGTGCTGTCACTAACCTGCATTGTTCAGGGTCAATTCCAGTAACTCTTTCTCTCTACCCCTTTATTATCTCCTGGACATGCTTACCTCATGCTTTAGGGTCTCCATTCCTTAGAATTTATATTGATCTTCCCATTGTCCTTTGATCTGAATCAATTTTTCATCCCCATCTTGTTCTTCTACCCTATAGGCCTCCTCTCTTGTTCTCTGCCCAATGGCTTTGGGGGACCACCTGGGCCAGAAGGGGAGCGAAGTCTGGTACCCCCTGATGCCAGCATCCTCATCAGCAATGTGTGCAGCATCGGGGACCATGTGGCACAGGAGCTTTTTCAGGGCTCAGATTTGGGCACTACAGAAGAGGCAGAGCGGCCTGGGGAGAAAACTGGCCAGCATAGCCCCCTGCGGGAGGAGCATGTGACCTGCGTGCAGAGTAAGGAACCCTAGAGGACCTAATCTCTTTCCCTCGGCAGACTCCTAGATCAGAGTCTGGAGGTCTTACCCTACTCCTCTCCCCCTCCTCCATTCAGGCATCTTAGATGAATTCCTTCAAACTTATGGCAGCCTCATCCCTCTCAGCGCTGATGAGGTAGTAGAGAAATTGGAGGACATTTTCCAGCAGGAGTTTTCTACACCTTCCAGGTGAGGCATGAAAGAGATGCCCTTCAGAAGAGGGCTGGGACTTAAAGGATGGCTCATTTTTCTGCCATAGGGATGTACTTGGGGGAAAGGAGGAAGCTAGAACTAAAGTGGGGTAATGTGCAGGCCAGGGGCCAGGTCCTGGTGAGCTGACTGGAATGGTCTTTACCTGGGATCCTGAAATACTGTGTATATCTGAGTATTCATGTGCTTCTTTCTGAGGAATAGGCCTTTAGCAGGTCCTCAAAAGGACCCATGACCTAAAAAAGGCAGGAGGATTAGTTTAGACTCTTATCCTAGACTATGGAAGGTATCTCTGTGTGCCCTAGTCCCCTTGTCTTTTGTGTGACTCCACCCTTGGTCTACTCAGGAAGGGCCTGGTGCTACAGCTGATTCAGTCATACCAGCGGATGCCAGGCAATGCCATGGTGAGGGGATTCCGAGTGGCCTATAAGCGGCATGTGCTGACCATGGATGACTTGGGGACCTTGTATGGACAGAACTGGCTCAATGACCAGGTGAGGAGGAGAGAAACAGGCCCAAGAGGGGATTTAGGGAGCAAGGTGTCTGGGGCCCTCTTCATGGGGGATCCCTGTACCCGTGTCCACCCTCCATGGCAAGTTGCCTCCCATCTTCTTTCCAGGTGATGAACATGTATGGAGACCTGGTCATGGACACAGTCCCTGAAAAGGTAGGCTTAACCAGGTACTTCAGTCCCCAGGAGCATTTCCACAGTTTCGAGCAGCTCTTTTGTCCCTTTCTCCTCTCCCATTTCTGGGGAGAGGTGGGAGAAGGTCATCTGTTAAATTCAAATTTATAATCTTGGTCCTGAACTTAACAATTCTGTTTCCTTTCCCCACTCTTCAGTGTTTTTCCCCCATGGCTAACTCCACAAATTGGAATGGGAAGCTCTAGGATAAGGTTAAAAATGAGTGGGGTTTTTTTTGTTTTAAACCCTCAGTGAATTGGAGTTCAGGTTGTTGAAAGCAATCCTTAGAGCAATAATGAAGTGGAGAGGACACTTGGAGGGCTTGAGGTTTTTAATTCCGTCCAGCTCTTTTTTTTTTTTTTTTTTTTAATCATTGGTACAGGTGCATTTCTTCAACAGTTTCTTCTATGATAAACTTCGTACCAAGGGTTATGATGGGGTGAAAAGGTGGACCAAAAACGTGAGTTATGAATGCATATCTACTTGGGTTAACACCTTGCCTTTAAAGACTTGAGGGTTCTGTTCTTACGAGCTCTTTCCTCAACCCTGTTAATTCAATCTTTC